TTCCCATGATTACCCTCCGCTCCGCGCGGTTGTTTACCCTGGGCAGATATTCGCACAGTTGGCCATCTTCCTCCTCATTTGAGAGTGGTGCCCTGTAGATACCTGATACAGTCACTATACAGTTCGAAGATTGTATGTTGCATTAGAACGCTTGGATATTAGGCGTGGAAATGTGTTCGCCCTCAGACTGATCCAGGGTGTCCGAAAGTGGGACCAATATGCCACCTCCACCCCTACCGTCTCCCCTGTAAGCGCAGGACCCGGTGAGTTGCAGGCTCTCCGTTGTGATGGCCTCATGTAGCCATATCTCGGCAACCACAATACAGTCTGTTCCTGCGGTTCCGGCCCTTACTTCTCTCCACTTGTGGCGTAAGCTGCAGGCGTTCGAGTGGAATGCTGATAACCCCCCCCCCAGCCCAAGGCCCTCCCCTAGGTACGCGCCATTGCAACCGAAGAAGAATTCTCAAGACCCAGAATGGTGGACAACTCCCATAAAGAGAGCGATTACTTTCAGGAGGTTGAATAGAGGGATTATACAAACTTTGGCAGGCAGCACAGGTGCTTGACCGACCAAATGGGCCAAAATTACGCAAACAATCTTATAGGAAAGCTAAAATAAAACATGAATTAAGGATCGCTCAGCAAGCTCAAAAAATCGGGACAGCTTCCAGCTTGTAGGCAAAATAGAAGACCTAGATGTGCAACAAAAGACGATGTTCTCCTTGGATGTGGACCCACTATTCACTAATGTACCCCTACTGGAGACAGTGGAATTCATCTGTAATCAAATAAAAGCATTGAATGTAGACATTGGTATTCCGGACACCAACCTAAAGCAACTGCTATTACGATGCACACGTAACGTCCAGTTTCTATTTAACGGTGCTATCTATCGTCAGATGGACAGGGTTGCTATGGGATCGCCATTTGGTCCGTTGCTAGCTGACATTTTCTTCGCTAAACTGGAAAAGAGCACGCTGAGCCGAATTATTGAAGGATTAGCACACTACTATGGATCGGTAAAAAGACAAATCCATAGAAAGAAAACATGAAATGGTCAATATACTAACATCCATAGTTTCGTTTCAGTGAAATATAAATCTAGTCCGGTGTTTAGCCTTCAGAGCCCGGAAGATTTGTTCAGTAGACAAACTGGATGAAGAGCTAAGCTTCTTCCGCCAAATGCTGCAGGACGGTGGTTAACCGGAACAGTTCACCGATAGAAACACTCGGCTTAATCCGGAAAAGAAAAACTCTATCTGTATCCGCAAGAAAGAACTATTCATAACCGCAGCGAAAGGCGTTCAGATAGGAAGTTCACTGCGGTAATAGTGGCCTCAATAAACGTCATGGGTAAGCCATCAAAGTTAACTCAAACAGAGGATGTCCTCCAAGAGCTGGGCATCACTTTGAATAGTTTAGGTACAGTGCGTTACAGTTTTCAGTGCAATCAACTTCAACGTGTAGCAGCTATGATAAGGAAGTACCCGGACATTCAGGTAAAATTCGATAGACAGGGGTCGGTAAAACACTACGTAGAGTAAGCGTACCTGTCTTCCGTCTACAAGCGTCAAGGTAAGGGCCGATAATCCATCAGTAGTTTCAACAAGCGGTTCGATTGAAAAGCGGAAATCAGTTTTAATGAGTAGGATAGTCGACCGTGATGACGATGAAATAGTCCTAGGTGACCCACTGGAGCATGTTGCGTTCCGAATACTGACAACGACGACATCAGCAAAGGACAAACCGGACGAAGATCAACTATAGATCTTGTTCCAGAAATGCGGTCGAGTATACACAGCAGTTGCGCTGCTTACACAGGGATGGGAAGCTTACGCTCTTGCGCATTTCTTATCCGCCGATGATTTTAGGCCTAAAGTTTCAGAATAGTATTTAAAAGTCATTGTGATAGTTATTTGGAAGTTGCAGTTCTTATTGATCGAGTTTAGATTCATTTCGTAGCCAAGACTCAATTCCGATATATTAGTCAATTAAAATTTTATCTTTTAAGTTAAATAAATTTTCCTACAATTTATTTTCGTTTTCGGCTGCCTCCGGGAATCTGGAGTTATTTTGAAGGTCTTCAATGAGAAAAATAATTTATAGATGACGGATGCCTCCAATGGGGATTTTTTCAATGGCTGGGATAATGGAAATTGATCAAATGATCTCAATTTTTTCCAGTGAAACCGCGTTTGGATGCAATGCACTTACCGTCACCAATCTGGTCCTACTCGGGAGCTTGGTAATGAGACCATCAGTTTTTTACTAAATGTAGCGTTTTGGCGACGACAAAAGAGACAGTTACCCACAATGCGTCTCACCGTAGTTCTCCACTTCACTATTCAAAACCGACGGCAAATCGTATTGAATAGGTGATTTTCCCCGGCATGACCTCCTCACATGTGAATATTTATGATGTGTGTGCGTGTTGTGGTGATTGCCGGGCAAGATAATGGATCTCCGACGGGAAGGCTTGTAACTGAACCATACGAATAACATCAGTCTCTGCTGTTTTCAATTCGCTTGGAACAATGGGTCCAATATTCAAGGTGTCGTTAGGCTGGAGTCCTTTCATAATGGCGAGTTGTCGTTTGAGCCTACTCCACCAGACAACTACCCTCGGCATCTTCGTTCATAATGAAAATGACGCATTAGAATGTTGTTGGAAGTAACGCTTGATGTAGCGGTCCTCTTAGTTTCCAGTAACTCCGTTGCGACAGGGGAATTCTGAGTGCCGAGCCCTTCGCTGGGGTGATCCGTCAAAAAAGCTGGTCAATGTAACCATGTTTTGGTTTTTTCCAAGTTCAGCACACACCCGGAATAGTAGTCGGCTGGATTGTCACAGAATTTTATGTGCCGCTATTGACACACCTCAGTTTCTTCGCTGACGACGGCTAGCCGGTTGGCAGCGTAAATTGTTAACATAGTGAAGAGCTATGGCGGAATCAGTCCAGTTAGTTACGGTCCATTCGATAACGTGAAAACGTAAAAATTCGATAGACAGGGGTCGGTAAAACACTACGTAGAGTAAGCGTACCTGTCTTCCGTCTACAAGCGTCAAGGTAAGGGCCGATAATCCATCAGTAGTTTCAACAAGCGGTTCGATTGAAAAGCGGAAATCAGTTTTAATGAGTAGGATAGTCGACCGTGATGACGATGAAATAGTCCTAGGTGACCCACTGGAGCATGTTGCGTTCCGAATACTGACAACGACGACATCAGCAAAGGACAAACCGGGCGAATATCAACAATGGATTTGTTATTTGGACTTTAGAAAGGCTTTCGACTCACGTAATCACCGATTACTTCTTAAAAAGCTCGAGAACTTTGGCCTTACTGGGACGCTAACTAATTGGATAAGGGCGTTTCTGAACAGGCGGACCTCCAGGTTTCGGGTAGGAGAGAGACCATCGACGGGGGGAAAAGTCACCCGTGTGGTGCCACAAGGCCCCGTCCTAGACCCGATACTTTTCCTGCTGTACGTCGATGACCTAGTTGGAGGTTTGTCCATCCTAACTTTGGTGTTTGTTGACGATGTATAGTTAATTTACTCAAGCCCGCGAGACCGACTACAGGAAGACCTAAGAAAGGTTATCTGTTGGACTCAGACGTGGAACCTAGAACTAAACCCGTCAAAGTGTCACATATTGTACACTGACGGCGGTCCAATTAGAGTAAACACGGAGACAAAAACCACTGAACTAAAGCGCGTAGCCCAAACGAAGGACTTAGAAATAGTAGTCACCAAAAATTACAAGCCAGGTGAAAAGTGCAAAGCTGCATCAAACAGGGCTAGAGGTCAACTATTCCAGTTGAGAAATACACTGACCACCCGAGAGGCAGAAGTCTTTATCCCGCTGTATAAGGCACTGGTGAGACCTCAACTAGAATACTCTGTCTAGACATAAGCACACTGCCTTCAGAAAGATATCCAGTGCATCGATAAGGTTCAAAGTTTAACCACTCGGATGGTTTCGGACATGAGAGAAAAGTTATATGAAGAAATGCTTGAAACGCTACAGCTCTTTTCTAAGGAAAGTAATCACCTTAGGTGTGACCTCATAGAAAAATTTAAGATGATGAAGGGATTTGCTTCCGTAATCGGCGAATTCAGTTCACTCGAACGCCCGTAGAGGTCACCAGGGGACACAGTCCAAAGCTCTTAAAACCAAAGACCCGCCTCAGTGTGCGGTTTAACTTCTACACCAACCGAGTGGTTGATAGATGGAATCAGCTAATACCGCACCTTATGGAATGTGCGACTACAGTCGACTTCAAGAGGCAGTTAGACATGGTTTAGACCCAAATATACCCAGAGGTAGTATAGCAGCGGTGTCTGAGTTTGGTCAGAGTTGACCTGCTTCTTCGTTCCCAACTAATCTCCCTTAAAGACATCGTACTGGAACAAGTTTCCTGCAGAGAAACAGTTGCAAGACAGCGACTGAAGCGAGTTTGAAGCTTTGGGAGAAAAACTCTTCCTACCGAAGCAAGAATCTAGACGCTTGGTTGGCGAAAGCCTTTTCCGTCCTATGATACCCGACATGACCTGACCTGAACTTCATCAAGCAACTGCGTGGTAGTCGTCTCTTTCCAATAAACACTCGCTTCGAAGGTCGCGCTATTGTTTACCGGCAGATGTATTCAATTTCACCGTTCTTACTACTCCGTCTAGGTCCGTGTGGCTTTCTCTAACTACAACCTGTGGCCAGTTGTTGTGTTGTAATTTTTCGTCAGCCATAAGAACAACGTCTCTAAACTTCAGCGACCGCTCTCTATGCAACCACTTCTGTCGGGCTTGAAGTTTTGACATATACTCTCGTATCCAACGCTTCCAAAATACTCCTGCGAGGTAGTTTGCATACTTCCAACCCGAGGTATAGCAGCCACCAATGGCTTTTGGCGTATCTAAGTCAGCATTGGATCTCAGTAGCAGAGGGTCACCGGGAGTTAGCTACAGTCATTGCAGGTCATCGCTGGTGGCAGGTACAAGTGGTCGGTTGTTGAGTATTCTTTCCGCATCTACCAGGAATGTACTCAAAGTTTCGTCTTCCGGAGCCTATTGTTCACATAATGCTGTCAATATTCTCCGTAACGACCGTATGAGCCGTTCCCAAACTCCTCTGCGGTGACTGCTGTAGGGTGGGTTGAAGTGCCATTGGGTCCCAGATGGCGACAAGCGGTCTTGTAAGACGCATTTGTCTAATCGCGTCAACCAGTTGCTCAACTCCTTTTGTGCTCCGACGAAATTGGACCCGTTGTCGGAGAACACACTCGATGGGTTGCCTTGTCTACCCACGAATCTCTGCCAGGTCATATTAAGGAGTCGATCGACAGGCTGTGTACGGTCTCTATATTCAAAGCTCGTGACTTTAGACAGGTCATCAGGGAACCGTGCCGTTTTCCGTCGACGTCTTTCTTGTCACTCAAAGTGGTCCAAAGTAGTCCATTTCAGCTTCGAAGAAGGGCCACCAACGGGTAGTAGCGTGGCGACCCAACTATTAGGTTTTCCTAAAACGACCGATTTTAAAATGTATTTCAAATAATTGATGTCGAATTTAGCTGAAAATGAACAGATTTCGCTATTAACTGGATTTGAGTCATTTGTTAAAATTAAATTTGTTCTAACTAACCTTGATCTACTATGTCCCGAAAGTATAAATACAGTGAGCTGATGGTGACGATCACTTCTACGCTCATACCGATGGTGGCTCACATTGACCATACGGACGTTTTTGAACGAACGGTAAAAATTTGAATTGGATCGCTGGACGAATTCTTGCAGGACTTCTGTCACTTCCAGAGGGTTACTGCATTTCCTTCAGCGTTTTTGCACCAATGACAGCCAAACAACTGATATGAAACAAAACGTTTGTTCGGATCTGACCATGCCTGAGGGTTTCCTTACCGTTTCATCAAATATTGTTGTGCGTCACGGAAGGCGCGATGCAACTGCAATCAGGTGATAGTAGCCCTCATTTCTAATGTATTTAACTCGTTTCAGGCAGCAGAATATCGATTTTCCGGCATTCGTTGGAATTCGCGCGGTCAAGAGGGAGTACCGATTGATGAAACGTTGTCCGGTGCACAACCATGACTTATAATTGGGTCAGCAGGGTTTGTATACAGGTAACAGTCGTCTATCTGGAGAACATGAAGAGGAAGTGTGTACTTTAATGGACAATTTTAGAAGTATTCGCGAGTTAAGGGATTTCGCCACACACACGTTACAGAGACCTTTAACTACGGTAGATATCAGATCCATACATCAAACAAGGTCTCTTCGGATTCACGTGGCGATGCCGTGCAAGTGAGGGATATGCTGCAGAATCAGGGAGAGGTGAGGATAGGGTTGAACNGGGTTGAACGAAGGCGGCGTTCGTCAGGTTTATTTTATCCTAATATTATGCTGCTTTAGTGTCTTACTTTTCTATCCACTTTATCTGACATGATTGTACAGCTTGTTTTATTATGCACAACATCTACGACACAATACAAAATTCTGTTCGTAAATACGCACGTGTTCTCCGAGTGTTGCTGAAGAATTACGCAATCATTATCAGTTATCGTCATGCGGTCCGCTAACTGTCGCAGTCATTCACTTCAGCTCCTCTACACCTCAACGACCGGAACCACACATAAGAAAAACAGGATCAATCGACCAGCGGACAATCCTTCTGTGAGTCCGTTCCTTGTACCGTTTATTTCATTATTATTCGTATATGTAGTATCTTTTCCACTACTTATTTGGTGAGCCCTTGTTCAGATTATCTATCACTTCATATTTTGCTACAGTACCCCAGATTCTTCAGGAATTTCAATCCATTTTATTTTACTTGTTTACTGTGTATTTTACCTATGGAGCATTCAAAACTAGACATAAAGGTCCTTCCCATGTCTTCTCACATCAAAACCCGAGATTCGGTATAACAACCCCCTGTTATGGTTCGTCCAATCCGAAGCCTCTTCCCGTGCCCACCGCATCCGTTTCCAGACGCTTATGTATTTCCACATAGTCACTCCCCTGCCCACCGATATTGCGAAACAGGTGTTTGAATTCATCATCACCATGCCTGAGCCTGTTCCATACACTCAATTGAAGAAAGCGGTATTCACCCGCACAGCTGTGTCGGATGAATGTCGATTAGATGAGTTGTTTGGGGATCTCAAAATCGGCGACTGCACCCCGTCCCATTTGTTGCGACACATGCGGCAACTCCTCGGGACCCGCGTACTTGATGACGCCATCCTCCGCCAGCTTTGGTTGAAGCGTCTCCCTCCACGCATCCGAGAAGTTTTATCCATCCTCTCCAACAGTTCGTTGGATGAAATGGCACTGGCCGCGGATAAAATGTTTGAAGCAAACCCAGCTCCGCATCACACCACCGCTTGCTCCAACCCAACCCCGACCGGTCCTCACTGTGATGATTTCACTTCACGAATGGGAAACCTTGAACTGCAGAGGCAGCAATTGGTTCTTCACCTCTCCCTTTCACGGTCATCCAGCCGTAGTCGAAGTCGAAGTCGCTTGACTTCACAAACCCGCAGAAATCACCCGCCAGCCAGCTCTAACCCTCAACATTGCTGGTACCACCAACGATTTGGTCCCAGGGCCAAGAAATGCACCCCAACCTGTTCGTTCACCTCACAGGGAAACCCCAAAGCCGGACAGTAATGACGGCGCCTGTTTCCGGCATCCTTCCCAGTCGTCTATTATTC